TTATGGAATTTTGCTATGGGGTAATGCAACTGATATAGAAGCTATATTTTTTTTGCAAAAGAAAGCCGTTCGGGCGATTTATAACTAAAATTGTAAACAGTCCCTCAGATAAAAATTTAAAGAAATAAACATATTAACTTTTGCATCGCAATATATTTATGAAAATGTAATGTATTTACATAAAAACATAAATAGCTTTAATAAGAATAAGGATATTCATACTTTAAATCTAGTATTTAAAGTACAAATACAAAATAGAACAAACATAAGCTTGTAATGCCACTTACTAGACTCCACAGAATTAGTAATTCATTTATGGGGCAATGTATACGCTTTTACAACAAAATCGCAGAACATATTCAAAGTTTGTCAATAAACAAGTTTAAAAGTTTTATTAAAGAAAGACTGTACAAAAAGGGTTATTATAATATCAAGGAATACATGAATGAAAATAACCCCTGAGAATAAGGTGATCGCCACCATGCTGGTTCTATGATAAATCATTTAAATTTGTATAAACGAAATTACTGTTAAGTGAAATATGTTTGAAAAAAAAAAGTCCCGCTGGGTTTCTTGCTGGTTCTTCCCAGGACAGAGGTATTTTCCGAACCAGTGGTAAATAAAAAATGACTTTCAATAAGAATTATGTAATAATCAATATTGAATAAAAATTATTCTATTCTATTCTACTCTATCGGACGGTACGGGCTTGGCAGATGGGAGCTATGCGACAAAAAGTGTAAGATTTTTTCGTCACTACTCCTTGTGTCATAGTGTAGATGGCCTTGGCCAAGCCTTGGCGTCGAAATAAGGAAATGAGATGGAATAATATCCATCTTACTCGCACTTTTCTTGCCGTGAAAGAAATATTATTTTATTTCAAATGACAATAATATTTTAACGCTAGTAATTCATTTATTTGTATTTGTTGATCAATAATATAATACTACGTTTATCAATAATAATATATTACGCAAGGAACTTTGTTTCAACATAGTGTTTCACGACTCTCACGCCTTTTTTTTAAATTTGCGGATGTTCCACATATTATCTACTACCTGCATCATATAGATATTAAAGCTTATTATCTTTATTTCAATTGCTACATCGCACTCTGTTGAAACGAAGTACCTTGCGTAGTATATTATTATTGATAAACGTAGTATTATATTATTGATTAACAAATACAAATAAATGAATTACTTTGACAAGTAAATTATTTTGACTACATGTATGAAACTTTAGGCAAGACACCCACTGCAAATTCGAGATAAAATCAAGGAGCCAGCGACCCGCATACTACTACTAATAATAATAACACTGCTGGCCGTATGAGGAAGCTTAAAGTCGCTCAGCGAGCTATGGAAAGGGCAATGCTCGGCGTTTTTCTGCGTGATAGACTTAAAAACGTGGATATCCGCAGTAGAACCAGAGTAACCGACATAGCCCAAAGACTTAGTATGCAGAAGTGGCAAAGGGCCGGCCACATAGCACGAAGAACCGACAACCGATGTGGAAGAAAGGTTCTCGAGTGGCAGCCTCGCACTGGCAGGTGAAGTGTAGGGCGTCCCCCCACTAAATGGAGTAACGACCTGATAAGGCATGCAGGAAGTCGATGGATGCAGGTGGCTCAGGACCGTGCTTTGTGGCATTCATTGGGGGAGGCCTATGTTCAGCAGTGGACTTTTGAAGGGCTGTAATGATGATGATGATGACGCCCTACCAGGTCGACACTCCATCTAGTGGGAGACGCCCTACACTTTGCCTGCCGGTACGAGTCTGCCACTCGAGAACCTCTCTTCCCCATCGCTTGTCGGTATAGTAATAATACGCCATAGAAAATACACATAAAACTAAAACAGTACGCAGTTATTCAATATCGCATCAACACAAAACAAAGAATCGCTTCGAGCTAGAGTAAGTGTACGGAACTTCATTTCATCCTAAGGACATAAAATTATCTTGAATAACCATGCCGTGACATTTGTCTCTTGTCTTAGAGTTATCATTTTAACAGCATACTAATACTATATGATCAGATTTAAAATAAGCATTCATTTACGTCTCTAATCGTCCCATTTTATGAAGTAACAGAATTGCTTTATATTTTTTTACATTTTTCGTAACCGATTATGCTAAGAAATTATGTTTATGACGACAACCGTGACATTTATATTTTGGTATAAAGTGGAATATTATTTTTTCCTTTAAATGTCAACTTCGCCTACACCCTGCTGATTGACGGATAAGGCTCTGGGAACTGACTGATGGCAGAAAATACATAAATACATTTCTAATATTTTCTTTGCTGAAAATTGAGATTTGAGGTCGGAACGACATTATATAACAGTGTAACCCTAAACTGACTAAATCATAATTTTAATTAGACCTCTATTCCATCATTGACTGGTGCAATTAAGTTAGGATTTAGTATTAAGAGAAATAAAAACTTCAAATGTAATAATATTCGCTTCAAGTCTCTGATTAGAAACTTTTGAAGCACAAGTAATTTCTTAAAGACGATAACGAAGCGTAATTGCGTTAGAAATTGAATAATATTTCTTTTTTATTTTCCTAACATTTACAAGTATATTTAAAAAAAAGAAACGTTGAATATAAAGAATAAACAATTGATATATGCAGGTGATTTACTTCACTCGTTTACCTTTTTTTTATAATAAAATGTTAACAATAAGATCCAATGGTACTGCCATGCTGTACAATCGCGGGGACCACATATTTGTACATAGACATCTGTAACAATCTTTGAACAGAGAAGGTTCTAGATTTACAACTTATAATTAAACTGGCCCTCTTGGCCCTAAAGCTAAAAGAGGATAATACTAATCTAGACGAACTTCTAGACAGAAAAAGTGATTTACTTTTCTTTTTTAGACTATCTAGAATCTCTTGATAGATAAATTGTAATATGACAAACCTTGCTACTCTTTTTTATAGGTCCGAAGTTGTCCGGGATGTGATAGTATTGTTCGTGTGTTGGTCACCGATAATAAAAAAAATACCAGAACTTAACAAATGTTTACAGACGTCTACGACTAAACTCAAAACTCTAAATGAAGGTGTCCAATGGTCCGGTACCAATGGAATTGTTAATTGCAATTTTAAATCCAAAATATCGATTTTATACTTGGTGTTATCGATTTATTTTGGTTCATTACAGCCCTTCACAAGTCCACTGCCTAGGCCATAGACCTCCCTCAAGGAATGCCACAATGCACGGTCCTGAGCCACCTGCATCCATCGACTTCCTGCATGTCTTACCAGGTCGTCATTCGATCTAGTGGCTGGTTGCCCTACACTTCGCCTAACAGTACGAGGCTGGCACCTCGAGAACCTCTTTCCCCATCGGTTGTCGTTCTTCGAGCTATATGGCCGGCCAATTGCCACTTCAGCTTACTAATCCGTTGGGCTATGTCAGTCACTCTAGTGCTACTGCGAGAGAGGTAAAGCCCTAGTGTGGGATGCTACTTGCGTAGACACTCTGGCGGCCTCTCATCTCAGGGATACCTCGTTTAGAGCCGGGGTGGCGACAAAGGCAGCTGAACTCAGTAAGTGGCGCAAATATGAGTATCTGAGAGATGACTAAATATTTGTGCCATTTGCTGTAGACACTATCGGTCCGTGGGGTCCACGTGCGGTGGAGTTCCTAAAGGAACTCCATCCGCGGCTGGTCGTTGCTGCTGGTGATAAGAGGGCTGGTTCTTTTCTCGCTCAAAGGCTAAGTATAGCCATTCAACGGAGTAACGCAGCCAGCGTTCTTGGCACGATACCGCGGGGAGTAGGACTATATGATAATTAAGTTTTTAATATTGTATATAATGGCACTAAAACGAAAAGTATGAAATTCATGACTCGGAATGTCAAACAATTAAATACTAATGTAATTTTAAATGGGGAGGAACTGAGTCTTGTCGATTCCAACATTTTTCTTGGAATAACACTTGACTTATATTAACTTTGGCCTCTCAATACATTTATGATAATGTAATGTACGTACGTACCATCTTAGACTACATCACAACTTACTGAGGTGAGATTGTAGTGAAGCGCTGGCTTAGAATAATATAAAAAAATATTATACAAAAATGAGTGATAATCATTCTGTAAATACTAGGAAAAGACACAGGCCAGTTACTCTACTCTACCGAGTAAGTAATTCATTCTTGAGACGATGTACAACAAAATCAGAGAAAATATACAAAATTTGACCTGCTCAAAGTTCATAAATTTTATTAAACAAAGTTTCTATAAAAAGGGTTATTATAATATTCTTAGAATTTATGGATAACCCCTGGGAATGAGATGATCGCTACCAAGCTATTTCTAATTTGTTTTGTGTGGTTAATTGTGTAACATACATGATTGTAAGCTGTTATTTAATTTAAAAAAAATAATAAAAAAAGTCACGCTGGGGTTCTTGTTGCTTCTTCCCAGGACGGAGGTTTTTTTTCGAACCAGTGTTTGTGAATTAAACAAAAGAATGACTTTCAGTAAGTATTATTTATAATCTATATTGATTAAAAAAAGTTTCTGTTTCTGATCTTTGTTTTGTCCATGTTCATTTTAAGACCTATCTGTTGGGAGATACTACTGAGGACATTGAGCATAGTGCTTAGGTCCTCCAGCGATTCTGCCATAAGGAGCATATCGTCGGCAAATCAAAGGTTAGTGATTTACTCGCCATTGATGTTAATACCGTATACTTTCCAGTCTTGTAGCTTCAAAACGTCTTCCAATGCAGTGGTGAAGTTTCGGGGATATGACATCAACTTGTCTTACACTTTTCTGCAGTTATATAGGTTTCCTATTCTAGTTCTGTTCTCGTATCACCATCGTAGCCCTACTGTATAAACATTTCAGCACTGTGATTTCAGCATTGCCCGAATTTCGAGGGAATCAATGGTTTCCTCATAGTCGACATACGCAAGACATAAAGGCCAATTGTACTCCTTGATCTTGTGCACAATTTGTAGAAGGGTATGTATATAATCTGTGGTGCAAAAGCCTATTCGAAAACCGGTTTGTTCAGGTGGCTGGAAGAAGTCGTGACGACTCGTAATGACTCTCAAAAACAGCACGTAGACTTGCCTCAAAAGGGAAATCGGTCTTTAGTTCTTCAAGAGAGCGGTGTTGTTTTTCTTGTAGAACAAGACCACCACACTTCTGCTCCACGCCTTCGGTGTAGTGCGAACGTAGGGGACGGAATTATTAAGATTCTGAAGGACTTCAAGTACCGGTTTTCCGTCTTACATTTGAGATTTCAGAAACTCAGCGGTAATTCCATCCTCGGCAATTCCATTCCATTCTAATCTCGTTCAGACTGACGTCCGGAATATCATCGGAATAGTGTCAGATAAGAATTGCTCCTGGATCGTTACTCACACTTGCGTGTGACTCCATCGATAATGTGTACGGCTGCCAATAGAACCTCTCAATGTCAATTCAAATCTCAGGTATACCGGAAACGATGCCATTGCACTTGGTCTACAGTTTCGACAGTTGGTTCTTTCTGCTATACAGATCTATGGCAAAGACTTTGGAGCCATGGTTCCGCTCAATAACTTCTTCAATACAAGCTGTATTGAAGAAGTTATTGAGCATTTGGAGATCTGCCTGTTCAGTTGCCTGTATTCTATCAAATGTACTGAAAACTGCAGCTTCATTTCCCGTCTAACAGACATAAGATTAAGAGTGAGGTCGGAGAGTTTTTGTGTTCTTCTGCGGCGGGTCTTACAAAATTTTACTCCCATCGCAAGGACAGTGTCGACGACCTTGTCATTCATATCATCCACTGCATTGCAATCTTCTAGGCACTAAAAACGATTTTGTAACTCGAGCTGAAAATTTTTGGGACTTAGAATTATAGCACGAGATGGACGGAGCGTTGAATTTATCAGACGTGACCTCTTCAACTTAACGTTTAGGCTCAGTGTGCCTCTCACCATTCAGTGATCGCTGGCGTATTTTACCCTTGCGATCACTTAGATACAAACTCATTTTTTATCGAAACGTCGGTGCTCGACCAGATCCACTTCTTGTGAGGCCTCTTCTGGAAGAAAGAGTTCATCATAAAGAGTGGATTCCGTTACCCTATTCTGAATTTCCCAACATTCAGCTCACCACTCTCTCTTGTGCCTAGTTTTGCGTTGGAGTCTCCCATTAACACCGTAAAGTGGGTTTTGGAGTAAAGCATGGCTCTAGATATATCCTCACACATTTCCTCTACCTTCTCATTGGGTTTTTCCGTGGTTGGTGCGTATCCTGTATGACCTTCAGCGAATACCGTTTGGTGATTCTGAGTATAAGGTACGCAACGCTCGTCGACACACTTCTAATCTTTACAACGTTGTTAACAAGAGATTTGTGGACGATAAATCCGACAACTCCGTGGGACAGATGATCGTCCTCTCGGTAATAGAACAAGTTGTCGGATACGAGGATTACCGTGTCTTCCCCCTCTCTTTGGACCTTGGATAATCCTATAGTATTCCAGCACAACTTGTCTATCTCTTCTTCCAGCTCCAGGATCTTCCCATCAGTCCTCAGGGTGCGTGCGTTATATGTTGCCAGGTCGAGTCGTTTTAGGTGGCAACTCAACCTCAATCGTAGATTCTTAGCACCCCCTGCCCCATCTTTTCCACGGTCACCACTGTAGCCAGGTATAGTGGAGCCGCTGGGGACTAGGGACCGTCTCTTTGTTACTTTAATCATGGGGGTATATTGCCTTAGTTGCCACCCTTGGTGAGCGTTTTGGCAACCACAGTTTGTTTTTCAGCCCTTGATAGATAAAGGACAAAATGTGTCATACAGCCTATATCGATTTTATACTTTGTGTAATCGATTTATTTTGGTAAACATTATTGATTTTTTCTCTGTAGGTTCCATAATAAAATATGTTAAAACCTGTTAAAATAATAGAGAGCTAAATTTAAAATTCGTAAATAATATATTTTAAAAGTCAGGAATACAATTTTTTTTTATCAAAATCAAATGAACGTTCATGCGGGGTGCACTTTTGGATTTTCCAAATTATTTTAGAAAGGTCTCGAAATATGCACAATAAATAACTTATACTAAAGCGTTTTCAATTGTAGCAAAATGTTAAAATGCATATAGAGTTTTCTTGTGAAGATGAGTTCTTGTACGTGCTCAATGAAAGAAGAGAATATTTTAAATTTATGTCAAAAACCATATTTGCGTATATACATGTTGCATTGACTAATAGTTTGAATTAACCGTGCCATTTTAGCACAAAAAATAATAAATAAAAATACCATAGTAATATAGTATAATATAGCAACGTAATGCTGATGTGTTTGGTGGAAGTGACGTACAACTTTTTAATGATAACGAAACCTTCCGTCTTACTCCCCAGGGGTTGACAGCACATTTTTCTAAGTAATACAGAGTACAAGTACCTAAAACAAGTACTATAACATAATATAATTAAAAAGCAAATAAAATATTAAGCAAAAAAAATAATAATTCCTTTACAGTGTGTGTTGCATCTCTTTGCATTTTCTTTCGCATCTACCATGGGGAGTGCTCTGAGGAATTGTTCGGATTAATCCCAGCCGCCAAATTTCACGAACGCACATCGCGGCAGAACTCCCGATACCATCCACACCATCTGGATGATTGGCGGTCCACCACTGTGCGATTTAGAAGATGTTTTCTTCCTCGCACAACTTCCTTGTGGAATAGTTTACCACCAGGGATTTTTCCGGACCGATACGACTTAGGGACCTTCAAGAAAAGAGCCTACTCCTTTTTAAAAGGCCGGCAACGCATCTGCAATTCCCCTGGTGTTGCGGTTGTTCATGGGCGGCGGTAGTCACTTACCATCAGGTGAGCCGCATGCTCGTTTGCCCCCTCTCCTATAAAAAAAAAAAAAAAAAAAAACACGCATACAGCAATATTCATTGGCCACAGGATTGATTAACATCGTGGTTTATATGAAAATCAAAAACGAAACGAGAAAAGACAAAGAAAATCGTCAAATTTATATGCAATCATATTTGCAAACATACATTTTTTTCGTTCAAACATTTACTACATCTTAACAAAACTCCTAAAAAAAGAGGGATTTTAATGGTGAAATACTTATGGTGGCCACTCACGGTCATCCAAACAAAAACATCCACATCAACAGGTACATCCAAAAACTGACCGTGAATGTGAAAAGTTAAGTTGAAATTTTTAACTGAAGACAACACACGGATTTTTTCGAGCGTGCTGTCAGTTATACCGCTCAGTTGAACTGACGTACATCCAAAAACTGATCGTGAATGTGAAATCTTAAGTTAAAATTTTTAACTGACGGCAACCCACGTATTTTTCCGGGCGCACCGTAATCCGCTGGCTTCAGTTCGTTTCCATTATTGGTAAGTACATACTTTCTTAGTAGCTTTTATTTATATTTTATATTTTTTTTATAACATTATTTGTATGCTGTTTAGATTTTATATTATTTTATATATTTAGAGAAGTTAGTTTGACAGAGGGTGGAGACCAAGGTGATTGTAATGATGTCACCTTCCGTATGGTGGACTCAGAAGGTGGGTAAAGGGTCTCAGTGATGCTACTACGTAGAACCATCGTGTTTGGACTCATTTTCAAATAGGTAAATGGAGACCTAAATGACTGTTATGATATCACCTTTATGTTGGTGCAATCCGAAGGTGAGTATAGGATCTCAGTGACGACACTAGATAGAAGGATCGTGTTTGAACTCATTTGAAAGGGCTCATAAAGACCTAGATGACTGTTATGACCTCACGTTTCTGATAGTGCTATCCGAAGGTGGGTATAGGATCTCAGTGGTGGCACTAGATAGAACGATCGTGTTTGAACTCATTTGAAAGGGCTCATTAAGACCTAGGTGACTGTTATGACCTCAACTTTCTGATGGTGCAATCCGAAGGTGGGTATAGGATCTCAGTGGTGGCACTAGATAGAACGATTGTGTTTGAACTCATTTGAAAGGGCTCATAAAGACCTAGGTAACTGTTATGACCTCACCTTTCTAATGGTGCAATCCGAAGGTGGGTATAGGATCTCAGTGGTGGCACTAGATAGAACGATCGTGTTTGAACTCATTTGAAAGGGCTCATAAAGACCTAGGTGACTGTTATGAGCTCACCTTTCTGATGGTGCAATCCGAAGGTGGGTATAGGATCTCATTGGTGGCACTAGATAGAACGATCGTGTTTGAACTCATTTGAAAGGGCTCATTAAGACCTAGGTGACTGTTATGACCTCAACTTTCTGATGGTGCAATCCGAAGGTGAGTATAGGATCTCAGTGATGACACTAGATAGAAGGATCGTGTTTGAACTCATTTGAAAGGGCTCATAAAGACCTAGGTGACTGTTATGACCTCACGTTTCTGATAGTGCAATCCGAAGGTGGGTATAGGATCTCAGTGGTGGCACTAGATAGAACGATTGTGTTTGAACTCAATTGAAAGGGCTCATTAAGACCTAGGTGACTGTTATGATATCACCTTTCTGATGGTGCAATCTGAAGGTGGGTACAGGATCTCAGTGGTGGCACTAGATAGAACGATCGTGTTTGAACTCATTTGAAAGGGCTCATAAAGACCTAGGTGACTGTTATGACCTCACCTTTCTGATGGTGCAATCCGAAGGTGGACGGCACTAAGTAGAATGATCGTGTTTGAACTCATTTGAAAGGGTTTATAAAGACCTAGTTCAATGTGATTATAATACCTTCATGATAGTGAACTAAGAAGGTGGGGTAAACGATCTCAGTAATGCCAATACGAAGCACCATCGTGTTTGGGCTCAGTTGAAAGGGCTCAAGAACTAACTACACAAATAATATAAATATAATAAATAGTACAAACAGTATTATTATTCACTTTATAATGTTTTCAGGCGATTAAAAAGCAGCAAAACTCCCAAGTAGGTACAAAATTAGAAATCGACCATATATTTTACAGGTAATAAAAAACAAGGCAGAACGGAGAAAGCATAACCAACTACAACCGAAAGACGAATATATCTGCGTACTTCAAGAAAACCTACAAGCACCATTAACACCAATTCCTATAAATAATCAAGTTACCTGTACTCAGTATTTAGAATCCAATGATTTTTGGCTGTTATTATACGAATACTACACATTTTATAAAACAAACTTTTCGGATATTATTTTGTTTAACTTATTTTAATTCGAGTGACGACCTGGTATGACATGCAGGAAGTC